CCCTTGGGTAACATCGCCCGTCTGGCTGGCGCCCCACCTGGCTAATCTCCTACAGGGCTACAAGGCCCTGCTGCTGGCCAGCCTCCCTGCCCACATCATAACAGTCTGGAAGGGAAGGACAGGAGGAGTCATGGGCACAGTCAGCACCAGTGCTGCGACCAGGCACACAGTAGGTGTCCTGAGTCAGAGACAGAGACAGGGCAGAGAGAGCAAGCAGCTCGCCTTGGGGACAGGCCCATTCATGAAGTGGCATTCCAGGGCCTGGCCCTGCCCGAGACCCAGGCTGAGGGAGCTTGAGAAGCAGACAAAGCCGCCAGCAGCTGGGCTGCCTGCTGGACTCCAAGGTGGCTTTTATTTCCTCTTCTGCGGGTGCCAAGTCCTTGAACAAATATTTTCCTGGAGTGGAGGAACGACTTAGCTCCCAGCCTTAAGTGCTGGAAAGCAGGGTGAAGCAGGTTCCAGGAAGGCGAGGAGGAGCAGAGACCTGGCTGCAGCAGGGGGAGTGGGGGGGTGGGTGTCAGGTGCCAGCCCTCTGGGCGGTGCCTGGGGACGCCTGCTCTGCTCAGTGAGCCACCGGGGCACACTTCTGCCCTGGAATTCTGCAGGGAACAAAGGCCGTGTGAGCAGCCCTGATTTTTGCTGAAAAAGCCACAGCAGGAGTTGATGGAGCTAATTAGAGTCTCAGAAGCCCTGCTGGGAGGGCTTCCCCTTCCTTCAACTCATTACAGAATAACATAGCAGAGCTCACAAATCTTTGTGTGTCGCTTGATGATTGATTTACACACCCCCCTTTGTGATCACTACCACATCAAGCCAGAGCGTCTCCTGCACCACAAAGGGTCCTTCAATGCCCCCACCTGCTCAGTGCCCCGCGATGATCACCCATTAGCTCTGCCTGTTCCCAGGGTGGACATAAGGCAAGTGTGCAACAGGGGTTCTTGTTCTCTACTCCTCCTACCAGCAACACCCACCCAAGTTATTAGTGTGGCAGCCTATCTTTTTGGCTGCTGAGTAATATTCCACTGCCAATTATTTGGGGCTATCATGGACGAAACAGGTAGAATATTCTTTCCCTGGCCTGGCACGGTAGCCTAGTAGCTAAAAGTTCTCACCTTGAATGAGCTGGGCTCCCACATGGCCGCCGGTTCTAATCCCAGCAGCCCTACTTCCCATCCAGCTCCCTGCTTGTGGCCTGGGAAAACAGTCGAGGATGGTCCAAAGCCTTGGGACCCTGTACCTGCATGGCAGACCCAGAGGAAGCTCCTGGCTCCTTGTTTCAGATCAGCTCAGCTCCAGCCATTGTGGCCACTTGGGGAGTGAATCAGCGGACAGATCTTCCTCTGTCTCTCCTTTCTGTATATCTGATTTTCCAATAAAAATAAATAAATTGCTTTAAAGATAAAGAATATTCTTCCCCACTTCACAGGAACCATGGGTTAGATGCATGTTTAGCTGCCTTCAATTACATGGGTTTCCAAGGTGCTCGTGTTGACATTCTCTCTAGCAAGGTAGAGGGCTCCAGCTCTTCCCTACGTGCAGTGTCTAGCAGCTCCCTTTGAGTGTGGCCTTTATGGAGGTGGCTATGCCATGGTGGCTGGCACTAAAGAGCAAACATCTGAAGATGGGTCCACTTTGGGAGCCAGGTAGCAGCACCCCAAGCAGAGCCTCCCCCACGTGACACTCCTCTGGCTGGGACACAGACATGGATCTGCCAAGGCAAGGGGACTCTGTGCCTTTCCAGCTAAGGAGCTGAGCAACGTTGGGCGGAATTACCAACAGCCCGATTTGTAGCCATGCCACACCCACGCCTACACCTGCTACAGGCGGGCATGCCTTGAAGGCAGGGATGGGGGTGAAAGGCAGTGGTGCTGGGACTGGGGCAGGCAGACAGCCAAGTAAGGGTTGTCCCTAAGTCCCTGTCCAGATCTCAGGTCAGCTCCCTGTCCCCCCACTTGCAAGCTCAGAGTACCCAGGCAGTCCCACACCTGAGAGGTGACTAGCGGCCATTGCCCCACCCTGTTTCAGCCTACCCTTTCTGCTTGCACTTGACTCCCAGCGTGAAATGTCCAACTCCTAACTGTTGGTCTCCCTTTCCCCTCCAGGATGAGTCAGGCACGACTCCGCCACCCACCCACCCACAAGGAACAGTGTTGCTGACCTGCGAAAGTATTTCTGGGGCAAAGCCCCAGGGGCAAGCAAGGCCCACATGTAACCTACAACCAACACCATCCACCTGGCAGAAGCTGGCTCAGAGGTTCAGAAAACAACTTCACTAACTCTTACCACAAAACTGCAAGGGGCTGGCATGATGGCTCAACAGGTTAATCCTCCACCTATTAGCACTAGCATCCCATATGGGTGCTGGTTCATATTCTGGCTGCTCCTTTTCTGATCCAGATCCCTGTTTATGGCCTGGTTAAGTAGTAGGGGATCCTTGAACCCACATGGGAGACCCAGAAGAAGTTCCAAGCTTCTGGTTTCAGAGCAGCTCAGCTCCAGCCATTGGGACCATTTAAGGAAAACAGCAGATGGAAGATCTTTATCTCTGTCTCTAGTTCCCTTTATAAATCTGCCTTTCAAATGAAAAATAAAATCCTTTTAAAAAAGGCACCAACTCATTTCCTGCCCACCCCCACCAGCCAACACACACACACATACACACACACACACACACACACACACACACACCCAAAACCTGACCAAAGATGGGCAGTTTGTTGAATTTCAGGATGCTTAAACACATCACACTTCAGCTTGCTTGCCAAGTCTCAAACATTCACCAAGGTGTTGTATGACAGAACGGTCCCAGCCATGCCCTGGACTGAGGGTGACCCACAGGAGCATGGTGAGGAAGGAGGACAAAGATGGGGGTGCCATTTCATTTATGTGGCTACAATGGGGACAGGTGGTCCAGGTGGAGAGAACATTGTCATCAAAAGCCTTCGTATCTGAATGGCCCATTCTACACTGAGCCATACTTCCCAGGGTCCAAAGCAGATGGGCACACTGTGTTTAACCATTGGAACACAGTGTGTTGGGAGCAAGAATTTTCTGCCGTGCAATGCTGCATACACTCCATCCTGGCAACAGGGATATAGGGCCACACAGGACAACAGGGCCCTGCCCTGTGACCTGAGCTCTAGGGTCAGTGCTGGCCCACATCTGGGGCCTGGGAGAGGTGGCCATGCTGGACGAGACTCAGCAGAGAGGCAGCAGAATGGCCCAGAACACTGGGTCCTGGGTCCAGCACTGTGATCTGACCCCTGGATCCTTCACTTATCCCACGTGTGCAGACAGTACCTTTTATGATTCATATATTTAGTCATTTCATTTGAAACACAGCACGAGAAGATCTTCTATCTGCTGGCTCAGTCCCCAGATGGCCTCCAACAGCCGAATCTGGATGAGGCCAAAGCCAGGAGCTCTGTCCTGCTCTCCCACACAAGGTGGGAGCCCTCCTGTGCTGCCTCCCAGGGCACACAGCAGCTGCAAGTTGGAACTAAGTTGGAAGGAGCTGAGTGTGAGCCACCATGATGCAGCACGCAGTGGGTTAACTTGCCGTACCGCAATGCCTACCCTCCAGCAGCTGTGGCCCTTAGCTCTCTCAGCTCTGAGCATTTAGGTGTCACACAACGATACCAGACTGCAGACTCTGAAAGGGTTGGCAGGAGGCCCCTGGAGTCCTCCAGGGAGGGCAGAATGTGGCTGGTGCCTTAAGGAGTGAGTATGCCACAGGGCCTGGGTGTTGAGGGCAGAGACCGACTTGCCGCTACAGCCAGGGGCACCAGCGATAATCCAGATGTCTGCAATGGGATCAGGGCTGTATAGGATCAGACTCCTGCCTAGGAGATGACAGGGCAGAGCGCTACCAGGCCAAGAAGACACGCGGAGCCACAGCCACAGGGGCTGCTGTCTGACATGACAAGTACCGTTTATTGCAGTAACATGAATGGGCCCAGGCAGACATGGGCCCCGTCCCATAGGCCAGCAGCTGGCCAGAGTCCAAACCCCTGGCTCCACCCACCCCCATATACCCAAGTCATGTCCAGGCCTGCACTCTGGGCAGAAAGTCCCAGTTTGGAGCCCGGGAAGCAGGTTTCCCTCCTTTGGTAATGGGACTCTCTGAGCCACAGACCAACTCCACATCTGGCAGTGGTCAACCAGGGCAGCCTGGATGTTGTCACATTAAATAGGCAAGCATAAGGGTTTCCACGTGTCCTGGGGCTGGGGACTTCTGGTTTTAGCAGAGGCAGGGTCGGGGAGGACCAAGGTATTTGCTAGGTGGACCTGGCCTCATACCTCTTGGGGGCCAGCAGCCTGCGGTCGGGCAGAGCAGGCCTTTCCAGTCACTCAGGCCTCAGCAGGTGGGGCCCCAAGCAGTCACGCTGAAACTCGCTCTGGGGCCTTACAAAACCTTGGCAGAACCCGGCCTCCTTAGGAAGAATTTGAACCAAGACTACACAAACAGAACAGAGACCTCTGGACCCAGCAATCTTCCACTCTCAGGGCCTTGAGCCACACAGCTGCCGGGCGCCCCTGGCATGTGGAGGAGGAGCCGGGCACACCCACACCAGCAGCCTGAGAGAAGAGGAAAAGGCAGTCAAGTTCACGTGACTCCTTTATATTAAAGTTTATTACACTTGGAAAATCTACTGTACAGGAAAAAAAAAAAAAACCCATTGGATTAAGTAGAGTTTTGCAAAAAGCAAAAGCCTATCACTCTTTGGAAAATATTCCTGATTCCAGCCCCGGGCAGGGCTGCAGTGCTCAAGGTGAACTTGGTCCTTGACGAGGAGGCCAGGGCCAGCCACGCCCATGATGCCTCGTTTCCACCTCTAGGAGACGGCATGGGCCCCTCGCCATGGTCCTCTCTCCTCCGCCAGCCTGGGGCGCCAGGGTCCGATTCTCTCTCAGACTTCTCCAGCAACCCCAGGGACCCAGTTCATGGCCACAGGCATGGCTGCTCCAAGAGGCAGTTGTCCCCTGGTGTCCAGGAGTGGCCGGCCCACCCTGGGGTCACCAATGATGGGGCCACCAGATTAGTCCATACCCTGTTGCACACACGAGTGACAAACTCAGAGATGACACACAAACTAAGCCTGCACGTGGCTGCCGGATGGGGCTCTCTTCACCCTGACGCCATCTCCCTGCCCATTGATCCACCGCAAATGAGGGGAGCAGGATGGCAGTTACCAAACCAACGTCCTCAACTTACCTCAGAAGGAACAGAGTCTACTGGGGCTAAGAACAGACTAGAGGGAACATGTGCAAAAAAACGAGTCAACATCTACGGTGGACTTCCCCACAACACCCCGCCCGGGGACTGCTGCCCTCCTCCTTAAGTGCTATCGATGGCTCAGTCCAGAGGGACCTCCCCAGACCGCCCAGGTCCGAAGCAGCACAGTCCCCTTTCTTGCCAGAGATCGGCCTGGGTAGGGGGATGAGCCGCTTTAGGCTGGAGAAGCTGAGGCAGGATGGGTGCCACACCGAGGCCATATCCAAGATGCCCTGGACAAGCCGGGCTGGGCAGCAGTCCAAGAAGCAGGGCAGTGGTGGCCGGGGTGGGCCACGCTGGAGAGGTGAGCGGCGTGGAGGCGGGAAGGCCAGGGCCTGCAGTTCTGCCCCGGGCCTGGCGAGCGGGGGAGAGGGGGATGCCGCGGGGCGTCAGGCGTAGAACTCCTCCTGCTTGGTGGGCTTCTGGTAGGCCCCACCGTTCGCCTGCTTCGGCTCCTCCAAGGAGTAGCTGCCCTCATCCTTCTTCTTCATGCGGTACAGCATGAAGCCCACCAGGCACACGGCGAAGATGAGCCCCACCAGACCTCCGGCAATGACCCCTGCAGAAGGGCGGAACGGGAGGTCAGCTCAGCCGGGCAGCCCACGGCGAGGGCAGCACCCGAGGTAGCCAGACCCGAGGGAGAACACTCACCTCCCAGCACTTCCTTCCTGTCCAGGAGGCCCTGCGAGGCTCCCGTGGCACCCTGATCCACAGGGGGCTGATTCCGGAGGTCGGGGTCCACTGCAGCAGCCCCCACCGCGTTCTCATCGGAGGTCTCGAAAGTGAAGTCCTGGTGGAGGGCAGACAAATTAGGCCAGATAGTTCCTTCTGTCCCATCTGCACCGCCACCTGCTCGCTCGGCCAGCCCTCTGGGAGCCCAGAGTATCTCCACACCCGCATAGCCCACAGTGCACTGGCCCCTGGGAGGATCTCCTCTCTCGGGTGCTATAGCACACACGCTTCTGGGTGAAAATCAACAGGTACGTTTGAGCTTAACGCATAGAGAAAACCTAAGAAGAGTCAGTAGCAGGTCCCCTGTCATCACCAGCAGTGCGTCCTCCTGCTCTGGGCGCAGGTAAGGGGGACCTGTGACCCAGTTCTCTCAGGTCCCGGCTGAAGGGCTTACTCACCGGCTCACCGGAGCCCTCTCCGGCCGGGAGCTGACTGGGGGCTCTGTCTTCAGCAGTCGCATCCGTGGCAGAGGGACCCCCGTCTTGCACGCTGGGAGAGTGAGGGTTGGTGTGGCCTGGGGCTGCGGGTGCTGAAGTCCCCTGGTGTCCAGGCTGCAGGTCCTTGTGGGGGTGGGAGGTGGCAGGTGCCTGGGCTGTGGTGGCTCTGGCAGTGGCAGCATGCTGGGTGGTGGCGAGTTGTGTGACCTCCCTGGGTCGAGAGGTGGTCTCGTCCTTGCTGGAAACCGAGCCAGGCTCCACCTCCACCAGGTGCACGATCCCTTCCTCCACCGGCCCCTCCGTGGCTGGCAGGACAGGGGTGGAGGCGGCTGTGGCGCCGGAGCTGGTGGACTCTGGGGCAGGGGCCGTGGCCGTCAGGAGCCACGCATCCTTCCAGGTGGTTGGTGTCTGCCGCGACAAGGTGTAGTCTGGTAGAGCACCTGCGGAGCCAGAAACAGAGCTTGTGGGGGTACCCAGGGTACCAGCCTCATGCAGGCTGCAGGGGGATGGGGCAGCAAAGCTCATCCCAGTCCTCCCACGAGAAACTGAGTCCTGTGAGGGCTCTTGCCAGGGTGGAATCCCACCTGGAAAACCTTCCAGTGACCTTGGAGGGATGGCAGCCCTATCCTGTGCCCAGCTCTCGGTCCCCGCTCCACATGCCCTGCCCCACTCCCTCCAGTTCTCTGGCTCCAGGCTGCCTTGGCCCTTCTTCATCTCTTGCCCCTCTTCCAAGGACCATCTTATTCCCTGGGCAGAAGAGGCAGGCAGGGGATGCTGGTGGAAGACTTCATGCTGCCTTCAGCTGCCTTCCAATGACCTTACGAGACCATGGTCTTACTCCCCCCAATTGACAGATGAGAAAACAGAGGCCCAGGGACCCTTCCAAAGTGGAGGCCACCGAAGGGCTGCAGTCGGAAGCTGACGCCCGCACTCCCCTTCCATGCCTCTTTTCTCCTTGGGCAGGCAGGTCGCTAAAGCACAGGCCCCATTCTTCGCTCCCAGCAGCACCCATCGGTCCGGTCCTGCCACAGGTGTTCTCAGTAAACACCTGCTACACGCATGGGACAGTCTGATCATCACCCGGCGGCAGCCTTACCTGCCCCTGAACCGGAAAAGTTGTCAGAGTCATCCCCAGAGCCATCTTGATCTTCAGGGGGCACGTTGGTGGCCACACTTTGCTGGAAAAGCAGAAGGAAAGATGTGAGTGGAGCTCTGGCCAGGCCCTGCTGTCCTGGGTCACCTTCCGGACTACCAAGGGGCTCATTCCCCCCATCCCTCCTCCCCTAGTGTGCAGCATAGGAATGAGGTGGGAAGACAGGTAGGCCACAGTTCCATGCAGCCTTCTACACCCCACTCCTCCACCTTGCCAAGTTCATGCCAGGGACATGGGTGAGGAGGTAGGACCCCCAGCCTGCAGAGCTGTCTGCTCAGGCAGTTGCAGACCTTACCCAGGGCAGAGAGAAGCTGCTGCTACTAGCACTGGCAGCGGGTGCACGGCGAGGGCTTCAAGAGGCGGGGCTGCCTGCACCGAAGCAGCTCGCTCTATAGGCCCGATTTCTCATCTGCAGCAAGAACTCGGTCCAGGCCCTCTGGTCAGAGCATAATCCTCTTGGGAAAAGTAAGGCCTGTGCAGCTAGGAAGCTGGTGACAGTCGTAGCCAATCTGGAAGATTCCCTAAACACAGGGCTCTGGGAACTGGACTGTGAGAGCCTGAGATACACCCCAGGGATGTGGTCCTACCTGGAGAGGCTGCAGGTGTGTGAGTATACACAGATGCCCAGGGACTGAGCCAAGGCTGCCAGCAGGACCAGGAGAAAGGTCAGGAGCGACAGAGGTCAGGACCATCTCTGCTCCCAGCGCTGGCTCTCCAGGGCAGCAAGGCCCAGCAGCCAGCAGCAGCAGGGAGCCATGAGAGTCATGTTCAGCATGAGGGTGCTGATCCCACCGAGCCCACTCTCCACCAGTCCCTCTGGGTCCACAAGGAAGGAAGGAAGCAGCAGAGACCTCCGACCTGTGCCATGTACTAGGTGATCAGGCCATGACACATCATTCAGTCTCTTAGGGCTCAGTCTCCAGATCCGTAAACTGAGGCAAACAGTCACACACAGGTTCCAGGACTAATACAAACACTTAACAAAACCATGCAAGCACCGGCCCTATAAGGCCACCAGTCCACCAGGACCTCTGCTGGGCACGCTCTGGCTAGCTGTCCAGGGAATATAGGCCCCCATTGCTGGGTCCCTGAAGCCTCGTTCAGGCAGGACAAACAAGACCTCTGGGGCAGCCCCGAGGGCAGAGCTGGACCAGGTGGCCGCTGCATATGCAGCAGCCCAGGGCAGAGGGACACCTCAACCACGTGCAGAAACTGCAAGGCTAGAAATAACACAGTACTTCCTGTGAAAGCAAAACTCCTCCCCGCAGTGTGGAAACAAAGGTTGTCACCCAAGGATGGCCGTCCGTGGCCCATACAAGGGAAAGTCCCATTCCGCGGGAGCCTATGAGCAATATTCCTGACTGGCCTCTATGCCACACCGCGTCCTGTCTACACCACACCATCCCCAGCTGGAACTTCCAACAGGTGAGCACTTCCAGAAGTTCATGAACAACGGAATCACAGTCAGGTCCATCTGGGGACCAAACTATTTGGAAATCCATGTACAGCTTTCCTTCCATGAGCCTCTGAAGATCGCTTGTACCTGTGCTGCCTGCCCAGGGCTTTGAGGATGTCACCGGCTTCCCCTTCAGCAGTGAAGATTATGGCCTGGCAGCCCCACGCTGGCCACGATCCCAGCTTCACCCTGCCTAGCCCTGTCCTGATGCACACCACCTCTGGGATGAGGCCGGGGACCAGGAGCAAGCAGCCAAGCTGTAGCTGTGGTGGAATCTTTCAGCAGCAGTCAGTCTCGGGGAGCAGTCCTCCCATCCCACTCTGGTCTAGGCCAGGGAGGACGACTGGCCCGAGCCTGCAGTGAGGCCAAGGCAGTGCTCAGAGGCAACAACCTCTCACCTACCAGGAGGTGCTGCTTTCCAAGAGCCTGGCTTCCCCCAGTCCCTAAAACAATTTGTTCCCTCAGCTCAGCTCCCTTATCCCTCACCATCTTGTTGACACAACAAGCTCTTAAGCAAACCTCTTCTCCACTTAAACTGGCAGGCCAGCAAACCAGCCCCCAGGTCAGGGGTGGGCTGTCTCCCCTTCCCCAACGGCCTCTGTGATAGCATCTCCCAAGAGCTTGGTGTAAGACTTCACCCTGAAGATGAAGGAAACAGCAGAAACTGGATCCCCAGGGTGTTCAGCAGCCAGCCAGTGTTTTGGCCAGGCTTCCGGCTCCACTTAGCAGGCCTGCTGCCATGCTCACTCATGCCTCCCACCCCCAGTCCTTGCTGCAGGTTTTCCTCAGTACCCTTTAACCTGGGACCTCCTGGTCTGTGGCCACCACGCAGGGCTGCCTGTGGGCAGGAAGGTTCAGCCAGCAGCCCGCCTTCCTTACTTGGGACAGCAAACAGAAAGCAGCCCTCACCTTCGTAGCCTGTAAGTCCTGGGGCAATCAGCTGTCCCCAGAACACAGCCAAAGCAGATCAAAGTTCTTCCCCCGCCCTGTTACATCTGCTCCATGGGAGTGCCAAATGTGTCCCTTCTACACTCATGGCACAGACCCTGGCAGCTTGCTGACCTGCCAGCCCAAAGCCAGGAGGTAGTATGGCAGACACGTGGAGCGTAGGGCTGGAGCAAGAGGACTGAGCAGCCCATCCCTGCCATGGGTATACTGGCCCCATGGAGCTGCCTGGCAGGAAGGAAGCACTTCCCATGCAGGACGCCTGGGGCCCTTACACCTAGTTTTGCAGGTGCAGCCCAGCTGACGTCACCGCCTCTGACGGGTCAGGATGGAGCCTAAGCTAGAGTCCCCAGCCTCGAGCATGGGTTGCCCTGGCCAAGCCTACCGCTTCAGAGAAATCGCCAATGGCCAACTCCAGGGCCACGGTGACAGCCTCCCCAGGCCGCTTCCCCTCACTGCAGCACTGAATAGGGAATGGCGTAGATCTGCATAGAGTCAGGAGGCCCTGGCACTCGTCTCCCGCTGTGGTAGGAACATATCCAGAGTCTACAATAGAGGCCTAGCAAAGAAGCTTTCAGACGGTAATTCCAAGCCAACTCCTGCTAGCTCTCCACCTGGATCATGGCCACATTCACCCTGGCCATCCCAGGCCCCTCGTCAACACCCCTGGGACACAAAAGCACCTTGGCTGCGCCATGCAGTAGTACATCCTGTGGGGATGTCACAGAGGGTTTCAAGTGTGTCAGGGGGATGGGGATACTCAGCACCTATCTGGAAAAGCTGCCCCAGCACCACCCCAGTCCAATCCCTCCCCATCCCACCAACCTGCAGCTACTAGGCCTGAGGACCTGTGGTTTCCCCGCGGCACCCAGGTGAATAAAAGGCTAGCTCAGACAGCGCTGGGGGCCCCTGACTCCCAGGCTTTGAGCCCCAGCACAGGGTGAAGGGTGGGACAATAAGAAGCCATCGGGGCTTCCAGGGGTGGGGACCACCACTCCCATAGCAGCAGCAAAGGGCTGCCTGCTCCCGGTCCTTCCCCAGCTGCACTGCTCATGCCCAGGTCCCAGCATCGGTCCTTGGCAGGCTGCAATAGCTTCGCAGTGTTCTGGAAACTGTCCTCTTCCCTCAGTTTCTCGGTCAGATGGACAGGCCCGAGGGAAGCAGCTGCCTTGTCCACCGCCTGGTCAGTGCAGCTCTGGGGGATGAGGTGTCAGAGCTGCAGGATCTAGCCTCCACCCCCAGCCTATACCCCAAAACCCTACATGGGCCAAGGGAACACCATGGCATGGCCTGCATCCCCGAGAGGGCCCAGGACGCAGCGGCACCAGAAGTCCTCCCAGCCCTGGGCCCTGCGGACCACACAGTGTGAATGGGCTATGACCAGCGGGGTCCAGGGGCCAAGACCTACCCCACTCGGGTCCCTGGACAAGGCCAGTGTACAAAGACAGGCACTGGAAAGGCAGAATTCAAATAAACAAGCCGAAGAGGAAAAGCGGCCTATGAAGGTTCTGGAATATTTCAACTATACTTTCAACGCAACCCTCTTAACACACGAGACATGGCAGGAGTGGCCCTATGGGACTTGTCTGCCTTCCCTGGCGGCGGCAGCCTAGACACTGGACGTGCAGGTCAGACTTGCTCCAGAGACCAGCAAGGGCCTCAGCAGGGCCTGGGCCAGCTCCTTCATGGACTGGGTGACCCCTGACCCTCTCTCTCTCTGGACCCCTTTCCAAGGGCAACACCGGAAGAAGCTGGTAGGCTGTGCCAGGAGATGGTGCAGTGGGTGGGAAGGGCAGGGACACAGCCCAAGGTCCCGGGGATGGTAGGCTCCCACCTGCCGGTGGACGCGGAGGGGGGTGGTAGCTGACACCTGACCCCTCCCCCTGACCCTGGGAGCCCACACCTATCTCCAGCCTAGGTGACTGAATCATCCAACTTGCTAGGCCCTCCTGCCATTGCCTCTGGGCAGCCTGGGGACTTCCTGGGCCAGTGATTTATCAGCTCCCTGACTTTCCACTGAGACATTCAAGCTGGAACCTGCCTGGGGTATGACAGGCAGGGAGTGCTGGGCCTGGCCCGGGGTGGGGCCAGGGAGCAGGTGCCACCGCCCTAGTCTGAGAATGTACAGCCCTGAGGGGGCAGCCAGGCCAGCCCCTCCCCCCACATACCCATGAAACCCCCCAACACCCCAGCCCACCCACCGAGACAGGCACCTCACATCCTGGGCTTGGCTTTCAGAACTGTCCCTTTAAGTACATGGTCAGGGCTTCACTCAGGAAAGCTAGGAAACCTGAGGTCAAGGTTGCAGAGCCCAGCCTCCTGGCCCTGCTGGTCCCCCTGAACCACCATGCTTGTGCTGCCTTAGACCATGCGGAGTGAGGAATACTGGCAGCCTAATGCCAGCCCCAAGGCCCACAGCAGGGTGGTGCTGCCACCGACACCCCCCATACCCACCCGCGGAGACAGAACTGGCGCCGGCCTCGTGGCCCGCGTGCTGGGACTAGTCTGGGAACAGGCTCAGCCAGGGCTGGTGTACAGCCGGTGGGGCTGGGAGACCAGTTTCTCAGCTTCTCCACACCTGCCAGACTCCGGCCAGGCAGGCAGGGTGATATGTCAGGTATAGA